GGAGAGTACTAGAATGAGGAAAGACAAGCAGATAAGGATGCAAGGATGCATTGATTACCTTTGCTAACGATGCTGGATTTAACCTGACTAGCTACTTGAGTTTCTGTCTCAACGTCCCCCAAACGATGGGAAGTTACTTGGAATGGTAAGCCAAGTAAACTGCTTCCTCTCCTCCGTTGCTTTTGATCAGGCTCTTGTATCACAGCAACAGAAGGGAAATAGAATAGTGGATGGACAAAAAATGCTGTGCTCTCACGGACTAGATGGCAAGGAAATCTCCTCCAGAGTTTCCAAGGGGACCATCCCGAGCTTGGAGTTGAAAGGGGTGTGCTAGAGTCCATGGTGCGCTCAGCAAACAGCTGGCGCCAGGTTTGGCGATAAGGACTATAACCTCTCAGATACTCAGAGGTCAGACAGCTCATGAAGAATCTGCCATGGATGGTGCAGGGTGTTGCTGGGCTCATGGCTGGCTAGAAATACAGATGAGAGATCAGCTTGTGAGTCCAGTGTCAGGGCTGGGGACATCTGCAGACTGATCTAAACAAGGATTTGTTTAGATCAAATCCTTTGATCCCATATAGCCCAGGTTGGCCTCAAACTAGTTATGTAGCTGAAGATGACCTTGGACTTCTGATCATATCACCTCCACCTCCTTCCGAAGTGCAGAACGACAGGTGTGTATCACCACAACCCCCAGTTTATGCGGTATTAGAAGTGGAACCCAGGACTTTGTGAATGGAGACAAGCGTTCTGTCCATTGAGTCACATTATCAGCTCTTGAAAGAGGCTTTGGCAGCCCAGATGTACCATGGGGACCCACACTCGAAAATGCAACAGAGTCAAGGAGGTTGGAATCTCAAAGGGATTGACAATTCAGCTTCCATGACAGAGTCTGCACCAGTGAGGAGTCTCTGCAAGGCTGATACTCAGTCTGGGGCGAAACCCTTCACTCTTCTTCACAAGTTCATTCTTCTCAGCGTTTTGTTTGGGGAAGTCTTCACTCACTTTAACTTATGGAAAGTATTTTCTCTGAGTCTAGGATGGAGTGTGGCTAGTAGACCTCCCTCCAGGGCTAAAGCTGTCTCTTCCAAGTCTTCCAACCTGAACAGCTTGGGGTGAATGCTTGCTGCAATTCTCTGTGTCTGAAAGCTACCCTGCTGAGTTTTGTCTTCAACAGCATGCCCATCCACCTCAGCTTCCTCAGGATGGGCTCTCAGGTATTCCAAAGGGACACATAGTCAAGCAGAGGGTACTGATATATTCTTTTATGTTTTTATATCATAGAAAAATTTTCAGATTAAATTTTAGGCCTGGTACACTCATTTAATCCCAGCACTGGGAGACAGAGCCAGGTGGATCTCTATGAGTTTGAGGTCAGTCAGCCTGGTCTACAAAGTGAATTTCCAGACAGCCAGCCTATGCAGAAAAATCCTGCCTCAAAAATTTTTTTAGGGTTTTCAGTTTCAAACTCTGTATTCTCAAGAAAGATTTAATTATTTATAATTGGGTTTATATTAACTTTTCTCTTTTGATTCCTAAGATGTCTTTATATATTAAGAATATAAACACGTATTCTCACATTGTAAATTTCTTCCCATTTTTGTTGTCATTTAGCTTGGTGACAGCACTTTTGGTTTATTGGCTTCTTAGTTTAATTGTATTAAAACTAATTCAAATTGGTCAGTATCTTAAAGCTTTTTCTCATGTAAAATGTTTAAACATTTTTCTCTATTCCAAGGCTATAGAATGTGTGTGTGTGTGTGTGTGTGTGTGTGTGTGTGTGTGAGAGAGAGAGAGAGAGAGAGAGAGAGAGAGAGAGAGAGAGAGAGAGAGAAAGATTAGGAAGGGTCCTCTATAGGGGAAAAACTAAAAGGAACTATATGTAGGCATTTACTGAATTGGCTTCCACACGGGGCTGGATAGTCCAACCATGATTGCCTTGATGCTGGAGATCCAGAGAGCCAGGTTCCCAAACCAGGACTCTCAGTAGCTTTAAGGATGTGTTGAGCGCCCGGAAGCTCTCAGAAGAGTCAACAAGGGAAGGCTGGAGGAGCTGGGCTCTGATGTCTAAGCTGTTTACTGAAAGCTTCCACCCGCCTTGGGAAGGGGTTTTCTCCAGTAACTGCCTCACACGACAGTCCTCACTAATCCCAGTCATGTCTCCGTTCAGGCCAGTTGACCATCAAGACTGACCCTCCCAGGACTCATGTGTCTCCAAGGAAACACAGATGCATGAAGACTGGGATGCCACCAGAAGAACTCATCCTATGTTGAGCGTGAGTGTGGCTTTTGAGTAAGTCTTCCTTTCTCTACAAATACAAAGCGCTGCCTCCACTGCCGAACGGCTCAGGCAAGGTTCAACATTATTAGACTTTTGATTTTTAATTCAACTAAGCAAAACAAAGCAAAGGGCTCACATTAAATTATTAGCTCTACTTTTCATAATAACAGACTTGAATTGGTAATTCAAGTATCTCAGCGCTGATACGTAAGCTAATTAAAAAGTGCAGTAAATTGGATTCAGTAGTAGCTTAGAATTCACATTTAAATGAGTGGTAAGAACTCGGCTGGCGCTCTGTGCACAGCAGGGGCTGCTGTGCAGATGGGCAGGACTCCACCTGGCCTCAGGCGGACTTCCTGATCACTGCGCCCAGCAGCCTAGAGGCGCGTGCTCCTAGCTGCAACAAGGATTCCAGCGGTCGCTGTGTCGTTTTATTTTCCTTTGAGAAAGACTTCCTGGGATCACGCACGGTTTTAGGGACATTTCTGGGAATGTGATAGGGTCTTTGTGAACAGTGTGGATGACTGCAACCCAGTAATGAGGGGACTGAGTCTTTAATGGTGAAGGGCAAGACAGCTGTCTACAGAATAATTCTGTTCTTCCAAGAGGAACGACTTCAATAGCAGGATATCTGCAGCTTTCACGGAGGGGATTTTCTATTACATAGCTCAGTAGAAAAACTGATAACTGACAGCGAGAGACCCAGTCCCCTCCAGCCCCCCCTCCAGCTCCCATCCCCAGGCTAGGCAGATTTAATAGCCTGCTGACACCTTCTAGTTTATGGGACAACACAGCGATACAGGAAGTGCTTAAACACTGAAGGGTCCCAAGAGTGCAGGAGGAGGAGATGACGGTCAGCCTTGAGACCCTTCCCCAGCAAACTGCCCAGCTCACCTCCCCTCACATTTGCTTTCCCGAACACTGCCAAAGGTACCCAAACCGCCAGTGCACAGGCGAGGACAGACTCTCACAGAGATGAGCAAACCCGTGTCTGTTTTCAGCATCTGATTCACTCTGCAGCTAGGAAGTGTTTGTCAGTCACTCCTGCTGGGAAATTCTATGGTGTGAAAAGGAAACAATAATGAGAGGCCTGTCAGACCCAGTTATTTACAATTATATTTTGAATGCAATTTTAGAATAATCAATTTCATTTGAAACAGTCTCTGAATATAAATAAACTCCAGAATAAAAATGGTCTATTTTTATGTAGCTTATTAGAAAATAAAAGCTCTGTCTAACGTAAGTGGTTTCTATGTCTGGTCTTATTGCAGTCCAGAGTGTCCTCCTCCATAGCAATGGCTCTGCCCCCAACCCAGTGGACCTGGATAGAGAAGCTGAGGAACAAGGTTAGTTCAATTTACATGAAGCCCCTCTCTGCTCTCCAAGAAAGGCGGTTGTTCACATGGGCCTCCCCAGGCTGAGTGACTCCCCCAGTAAGATTCTGCAACAATTCAATTTTTAAATTGCCATTCTGTAAACTAGCGTTCATGAGTTATTGGGTTTAATGGGCAAATTTATGGTAGTGTTGCTGCCTTGCTACACCGAGTACCAGGCTAGGTGGAGAATACAAAAGCTGACCCCTGTGATCAGAGCTTTGAAGTTTCACTATGCATCACAGGGAGCAGCTCTAAGAACACTGAGAACACTGAGCAGCCTGCCACCTGCTGCTGCCCACTTAGACAGGACAGGCTTCTCAAGACGGGAAAGCGAGGAGACACCAGGTGGCTCTTAGCTTTTATAACCAGACTCCCTGACACACTGGGCACACCATCAGGGAAACTGCCGAGAGCAACTCTATTGTGCATAGTTCAATAGCTAATTTCCCCAGTGGGTTTTAGTTGTTTCTAGTTCAGAAGCTAAGCTTATCAATGATGTGCCTTTGAACAAATATACAAAGTCTATTGATCTTATGTCTGTGAAAACAAGCCATTTCCTCCACCTTTACCAAAACCTGTTATCTCACTATTCACTTGTGAAGTGAGAGTCCACAGAAAAGCCCCTGCTCAGATACGTCCTCACTGACAGTCACACACCCACGCTGTCGTTTGAATAGAAACATGTCCCTCTTAATGCAAACGTTGGGGTGATGCGCCAGGTCCTGATGTACAACAGAGGCTTCAAGTCAGATACAGGTGGAGGCAGAAAGATCAAAAGTTCTGGGTCATCAGTGGAACATAGTGCGTTTCAGGACAAGCTGGGCTACATGGGATCTTACCTCAACCCCTCCAAAACTAAAACTAAAACCAAAACCAAAACCTAACCAGACACAGAACTTGCCCAAGCCTATTTCCACAATTACGAAATAAACAGCCGAAGTCTGATTGGTCATCCAACTGGTTATCTGATACCAAATGATCAGCTCTTAAGATACACATACAAATAACATTATATAGACTGAGCAGGCTGTACTTAGGGAACAGTTAATGAAAAGAGAGGGCACAAACTCGAAAGAGAGCAAGGAGGAGTATATGGGATGGTTTGGAGAGAGGAAAGGGAAGGAGAATGTGATATAATTACATGATAATCCTGCCACGTAAAGGAAATAATCCTTAAAAATATTGTAATAAAAATATCCTAAGATATTGTGCGACAACACGAATGAGACAAATGATGACAAAGGCTCTAACACTGTCAACTTAAATTCAAAGTGAGGTAGCTCACCCACGGCTAACTAGCGTGGGGAGGGAGAGAAGAAGTCAGGAGAGAGAAGACGCCTTACGTTTGGTGGTCTCCAAGTGGCCTTTGTACAATGGACTTCAGCAGGGGCTCTGGCCGGAGGGTCACCTTGGGAGATGTTTTGGGGCTGGAGTCTGACTCTCCACTCTCCTCATCACCCATGGCTTTGATGTAGCTGCCACTTCTCATCCGACGGCAGGGGATCTCTTCCTCTTTGCCACCGGTTGGGTACGCACCCCAGTCATCCTGAGGCACCTGAGAGAGAGCAGAGACAGCGCATGTCAACTGTGCCCTCGAGCAGCGTGTCCTACAATTTCTTAAAGATATAGCTCCTTTAGGCTATTTATCATTTTAAGTCATGCACACAGAAAGGCGTGTGTTTTCACTGTCTTCCAAATCCTGAAAGGGTCTTAGTAGGAAATTGTTGACTTCCTGAAAGGGTCTTAGTATGAAATTGTTGACTTTTTCCATTGTAAAAGTAAAAGACAAACTTTATGGGAAAAGTGAGAAGGTACTAGGAACGTAGGAAAAAGGAAAAGAGAAATGGAAGAGAAAATGATTGTGATATCTACATTATTGCTAAGTATCTTTTAGTGCTAAATGTTAATAAGGAAGAGGATTAGTCCCCAAAGCAGAATCATATCACATACACAGAACACATGCACCTGGAGATGAAAGACATCCATCAATCTCATGTACACAGAGCTTCATACCCTGCACACTGTGAATGCCAAAGGAAATTCAAAGAATGCCAACTTTCAACTTTTCTACTGTGTCTGACCCGAAGGCCGATGTGGTCACTAGATAACGAAGCTGGTCAGCACTCTGGCTCCACACCTGTAACTCAAGAGCTACCTGTGGCCAATGAGCTAAATCTCACAGGAGTGAGCATGATGTTCCTCAGAACTGTGCCCCTCAACTCAGCGCAGATCCCCAACAAGACACGTGGCCCAGTCTGGGCAATTCTGCTGGGAGCTCCAAAGACTAGTCAAGGGCAACCCTGTCTATGGGAGAGAGTCTTAGATGTTAGTGATGGAGGAGGATGCCAAAACCCCACACTTAAAAAGTCCTCAGAGTGATGTTTTCACTGAAAAAGGTTGAGCTTTTCAGTAATGTTCTGAAATTGGCCGGAGAAGGATCCTGCTTTCCTTCCAGCCCAGCACTGTGTGAAGCCAAGCACTCTGGCCCTTCTCACAGAGACCCAGATGGCTGATGGGATGACAGGCTCTTGAGTAGAAGGCACCAGCGCTCCTCCCCGAATTGCATGGTGTGCTGTGCCTGGAGATCCCATTACACTGCAGACTGTTCCTACAGCTGACTAGTCTGACTAGTCTCCACACTCGGAGTCAGGAAGAAAGGAAGCAGAGGCACAGGCGCCAGTCCCCAGGCTCTGTGTCTCTCTGAGTGCTGACGGTGGTCTACAGACCTCAGTGGGGCTACCATATCTTCCATGCTGGAGTCAGGAGCCCCTCTGGACCTCAGGCTGGTCAGGTGGATCTCGTATTTACCACTCATCTTGTGTGGCATGGTGCAACATAATACTCACAAGATCTAAAGAGGTATGATTCAGCTGGCTCTATCTAATTAGACATAGGCACAATGAAGCCCACCAACTTTGTGGCCAGGTTTGACACTGTTAGATGCAGATCTTGGATTAAGGATGGTGCTTAACCGACAGAATGCTAGGAGCTTCCCCTACGCATGAGTTGGGGCAGGTGCTGACGCCAATACATTGAGTGCTTTAACATTTTAATGGCTTGGCTCTATGCCACACTAGCATGGGTCCAAGAAAAAATGCAGATCACCCCAAGAGGGCTTGGTAAAATTTTTATGACCGTGTCAAAGCGCAAGCCACACTGATCACACATTGTAGCAACTGGAGATTTAGGCAGACTGACACGGAGGATTTTTGTTCAGCATGTAATAGGTATTGACCCACTGATAGAGAATCTTGGTTTACAGGGAGATACCACGTCTTGATAGTAGCTATGCTTGAACACTGGGGAAATGACACAGGGTATGTGAAGAACTCACTCTTGGGGTACCCAACAGCTCTCATATGGTGCTTCAATAACATCTCTTCAGTAACATCACACTAGAAATCCAGGTAGAGGAGTGCCTTCTCTGCACTAACCAGAAGACCAGGATGTTCACCCCAGGACCAATGTTCCAGGATATTCATACCATGACCAGTATCCCTGGGTGTTCAGACCATGACCAGTGTCCCAGGAAGTTCCCACCATGACCAGTGTCCCAGGATGTTCACACCACGACCAGATGTTCACCCCAGGACCAGTGTCCTAGTATGTTCACCCCAGGACCAGTGTCCCAGGATGTTCACATCAAGACCAGTGTCCCACAATGTTCACACCATGACCAGTGTCCCAGGATGTTCATGCCAGGACCATTATCCCAGGGTGTTCACACCATGACCAGATGTTCACCCCAGGACCAGTGTCCCAGGATGTTCACACCAGGACCGGTGTCCCACGATGTTCACACCAGGACCAGATGTTCACCCCAGGACCAGTGTCCTAGGATGTTCACACCAGGACCAGTTTCCCTGTTTCTCCGCCAGGGTGTGCCAGCCCACTGAGGCTCTGTGTAAACCTTGTGAGTCAGTCAGCAGGACAAAGGAAGGAGCCAGGATGGCAGTGTGTCCTCAGGAATGGCTGCCCATGAACTCTGTTTGAATTTCAGAAGAATCTGTCCTGAGCTATGAAAAGATGGTTATGAAGGCATCCCTATCCCTGAGTAGCACAGATGCAGTAAATTATAAACCAGTTGATTTAATCTGCAGTTCTGGAGGCTTAGAAGTCCAAAAGCATGATGCTGGCATCTGTTCCGTGACTGGCGAGGGCCTTTTGTGAGACAGGACACACAAGCCTCTCTTTTGCCCCTTCTAGCCCACTAATTACATCATGCATGCCCTATCAGCATGGCCACACCCAGGACATATCACCCCAAAGGGATACCTCTGAATACCATCAGAGGTGAATCTGAGGATTCACTTTCCAACTCATGAACTCAGGGATATATTCAAACCGCGTCAGTGGGAAAGACATAGAAAGCTGGCAGACTTGCCTTAGCGTAGGAACACAGTGGTGTGTGGCAGGTGTCCACAATGGGACAGGGGGATAAGGATTTTTCAAGGCTTCCCACATCTATTTACATTTTCGAAGCGTTCCAAGTATTTCTAAGTTGTGTATTAGTTTCGTCCGAGCCCTCGGTGTCAAAACATTTCAGAGGAGGTGACGTACTTGGAGGCTGACAAATTAGAGTGTGATGAGCCTAAAAGAGGGTTCGGGCGAGTGGCAATTCCAGGGAGAGCTGGTGACCTGTGGCCAGCAAAGCCTCCTGAATGGAAGGTGTCGGGGTCACCTCATCTGAATTTGGCCAGAGGAACGGTGCAAGCAGAAGAAACAGCATGGAAAGGGATTGGTGGCCAGCTCCTGGCTGGACCAGGAAAGCTTGCATCCTTTATCTCTCAGTGTGCATTCAGGTGGTGGTTACAGGGAAAAGGACAGATGGGGAGAGAGGCCAGCTGCCACCAAAGGAGAGGCTCACACTGTCAGGTTTATGGAGAGGTTTTTTTTTTTTTTTTTAACCAAAAACATGTTTCCATAAAGAGGAGCAAGGTAAAGATTGTTCCCCCCCACAGCAGCCTACAAATTAACTAACAAATGAGACCAGCTTGTATGTTTCTGTTTCTGATTTAAGAAGCCAATTTCACAGCCTTTGACAGAAAAAAAATTCAATACAGAAGGAGCGTAGAGCAGTCGATTTCCAGAGCATATGTCTGGGCTATGAAAAGCCACCAAGTCTCAGTAAATAAACCTTCCCCTTATGGTGGAAACGCTAAAACCCGCAGCAGAACGCAGAGGAGTGGCCAAGTGTGCACCTGGCACGCGCAAGTGGCAGCTTCCCAGCCTCCGGGAAACAAGCTTGAGGCATCCAGCCCCTGCAGAGCCAACCCCAGCCTTCGCTGTGCCAAGGCGATCAGCTACCCGAATCGTCACCAGCACGCCATGCTGAGCGGCGCTGATCACTTCTATAAAAGGAGCCTTCTCCTGAGATTGACATCTGTGTGCGTTGTGATGCCGTACTTGAAGCACATCTTAAACACCAAACACGCACACATCCTTTCTTTCTTTTCAACTGGCAAGGCAAAGAATTTTATAATAAGGTTCTTTTCAGGTGAACTAAAGAGAAATACCATCCAAAGCTGTGTTCTCCCTCAGGAAACATTTCCCTCATTCCGTCAGCAACATGTGTGCGTGTGGTTTAAACAAGTATCAAGTACACGAGCCACAGGGGAGAGCGGCAGAGGAAGACAGCTGGGCCTTGCATACTGTGCACAGAGGACAGATGAATGACAGGGGCCTAAGCAGAGCCTCCCAGGGAGGAGTCACCAGACGTTCTGGAGACCCATCTGGGGAAACCCAATCCACGCAGGGAGTTCTTTTCAATTGCCCAGGGGTCCGAAGATGCTTGTTAGAAGAGGGTCGCGGGCAACTCCACCCAAGGAATGACTGCCTGAATTCTGCACAAACCTGAGTCAGCTTGCCTTGGGCCTTGTTGGGCTCTGTGTGAAAAGTCGGGGTTTTTTGTTCTCGCTGGCAATTTTAACGAGCGATGGTTTTTATTTTTCTAGGATATAGCCACCGTGTAAACCGAGGGAAACGTGGCTCAGTTGGCAATTTACCAGGAACTGTTTACCATTTCCAAATCCCCCGGGGCTAACAGAGCCTCACTGGAGCCTGAGTCCTCATTACAACACTCCTTTGTTGGTCTAATTTGTAACTCCAATTACGGCGACCCTTCGCTCAGCAACAAACACGAGAACACTTCATTCCGCACAGAGTTGCTGGGCCCCAACATTCTTAGGTTGAAATACTTCCACTTAAAAGTTACTTCACTTTTATTTCGTTTATCTTAGCGATCAGGCCACGCGCACATATTTATCTCTCCCCCCCCCCCCCCCGCCCTGTCTGCTTCCCCTGTCAGTAATGTGTATCTAGATAGGTTACCTGAGCTTTGTTTTAGAATACTCCGAGAGATGTTGAATGTCTGCTAGGTAAGAATTACATGGGCAATGAAAGAGAGTGAAATGTGTAGATGACATTAACTGTTAACTTGACACAGCCTAGCAGCACCCGAAAGGGCAGTCTCAACTGAGTAATGATTTTCATCAGGCCGTTTGGTGGGCATGCCTATGAAGGATTGCTAATTAACAGAGCAAGATCAAGCCCACT